GAATGTCCGCCATCGACTGGACCGGACATCCACACACACGCCGCCCACCCCCGGCGACCGAAAAAACATTCTCCCAACAGCGATGACGTACAGATACAAACACAACAACACACCGGGCAACGTCACACGCAAAGCGAGATGTTCCATCCGCGGAGACCTCATGCGTCCGCACATACACTACGACCCAGTACACTACGACCCAGATCGGACAGCCAACTATATGGCTGATCGTACCACGATCCGATCCCTATTTGCGATTGCAGCATCCATGAACATGGTCGTTGAGCATTTTGACATAACAGGCGCCTACCTCCACGAAAACTACAGACACAACAAAAGGGTTTTCGTGTGGCCACCCGCACGCTTCGACGGTACATACAAACACAAAACCCGTCACGGCGAACTCAAGGGCAATGTATATGGCACGCCAGCAGCATCCACCATATACAGCACAGAACTGCATACCCACCTCCAAAACCCGGGTACACGCAGCTGCGGTCGGGCACATCGCTTTTCATGTGTTCAGTAAGAGAAATTCGGTGCATCGCCGACAGTACAAGACCGCATATCGCGTACGCAGCCACCACCCTCGCACGAGCCCTAAAGGCACCGACGCAACGACACTGGATACTCCCCCAGAGACTCGCACATTACATCCACACCACGAGGACTCAAGGCATACTCATGCCCAGAGGCAACCGCCGCAACGTCACCATTCAAGCCTATTCAGATGCAGATTTTGCCAACGACGAAACCTCGCGCAAGCCAATATCAGGAATTTTCACACTTCTCAATGGCTCCCCCGTTCAATGGCTGGCACGTCAACAACCCATTGTTGCGAAGAGCACGTGTGAAGCCGAGTATATAGCAGCGGCAGAAACAACAACGCTGACACTTTGGCTCACTAATATGCTAAAAGAAACCACCCTCAACACAAGCCAACCCACACTGTACATAGACAATACAGCGGCAGCACAGATGGCCAAAAACACAGGAGCCACACAACGCCGCAAATGTATAGACATACGATATCATTTCCTCCATGAAACAGTGCAAACAGGCAAAATCAAGGTAACACGCATACCCATAGAAGAGCAAAAAGCGGACAGATTCACTAAACCGCTCAAAACGATGCTCTATACAAAACACAAACAAAGCATCCAAATACAACCCCCCGCCCCCACACAGAGCAGACCTCGCGTCGGGGGGAGTGTGGTTCCACCCAAAACCCAGAAAGACGCCCGGCCTGTCTGAGCCTCTGCGGTTTCACCCAGATAAGGCAGCACCCCAATAGGGCACTGCCAATATGGCGACTCGTAGTCAGAACCAAATAAAGCCGCCGTCGCATCCGCCCCAACAGTGGTCGGAGGCATCGGACTCTTTCTGGCACCACAAGAGCCTTCGAATCAATGGCTGTATGATTATGCGCATTTCTTGAAGGTAGAGCAGGCTCCAGGATACAATATTATTGTATCGCGTGTGCAAGGTTGTCCAGTCTTTTTGGAGAGATTTGATACAATTTGGGTTTGCTGTGCTTTTGAAGATATACTTGAGATATACGTAACTGTTGCGGACCAAATCACCAAATTTTCTGTTACACTAGCACGATCTCCACAAATGTAAATAAAAAATATGAAAATATTGACGGCTTCTGCTCATTCGAATTTCCTTTTGCGTCTGCAAAGAGCCGGAAGAGCGTACGTGGCCATTTTTTCCACCATCCAGCGAACAATGAGAAGGGCTGAACCTTTTTCTAACATGCCAAAACGGTATCATTTTACGAGATTTGCCTAATTGCCAAATACTGCCAAAAACTGCCAAAAACATCTTCGCCGACTATCACAAAACAAGTACATATGCTGACCCTCGAGGTCTGGACGAGCGAATTGCCGCCCATTGTTTGGCGGTAATGTGGACCAAGGGCGAATGGAAAGTGTTTTGTTCTCGATGCATAGCGGGATAGGTGGTGGAGGAGGTGATACACTCTAGAAATTATGCAAAAACTCCGGTTGGTAATTAAGCATCAGTTGGTGATTAGATACGCAACGGTTAGTCCTTCGTTTTTCGTGTTCCAAAAGAGTGCCAGAAATGACGGGAATTGTGCAAGTTTTTTTTGAATACTACCATCTTCTCCGTCCACTTCTATGACGCATTCGAATGATCATATCCATTTTATTATCAGTGCAGCCTTCTATGATTGTCATTTACGGATGGGCAAACTCATCACCGCAATACTTAGAGAATCTCCACCCCAGTCGCAAATTGAATCGTATTTTGCAATTTGCAGTTTTGGAGCCTCCACCGCGCAACTTCTATCGCAAATCGAGTTGCAAATCGTATGACAAATACGATTTGCAACATTTTGTCTCCCAAAAATCGACGGTTTGCGAGACAAATGTGGCAAACAGGAATGTGCGAGAAGCTTGTTCTATCCGACCTGGCCAGCGGCATTCATGATGTACAGCGCTGGACCTTGAATTGTGGATAAATCCAGCGACTGAAACGATCAAAGCGCGGGAAAACTATACATCCCTACTTCTACGATTGCCAACAAATACAGAAGTGCGACAGAATTGTTGCGCGGCTTGTCCCTTCGAATTGACGCCTCAGTCGAAAAAACGAACGCCTCCTCTACATTTTCGGGATGGTGCGGGGCAGGAGCTGGTCGCAAGCGGAGGTCGCTCATCTCGCCGAGGCCTACATCCAAACGACAGCGAACAACATTACAGAGATTGACCAAACTGGAATACGTTTCTGACAGTCTCTGTTCGACAACTTCCAGTGCTTCAATCCGTCATTGTACGCTGACCGCACCACTCCGACTGTTTTGAAAGCCCGCTTCGATGAGATGGCGCGAGAGGTGCAAAAGTTTAATAAGTGTTTACTGGAAGTGAAAGGATACAATCCCACAGGGTCAATGATGAAAACATCTTTGCAATGGCTGTTGCTATGCACGTGAAGGCATTTATTCCATCTTCTACAGACACGACTATCAACAACATGTATCACTTCAAGGACTTCTGTCTGTCCGGATGGCTATATGCCAGAGGTTGCAGGCTTTTGCACGGCATTCCCAAGTTCTCGCCACGATCTGCGGCAAATGGGTTGCCCGCAGCGCCTTGTAATGAGAGGCGCAGATCTGGAGTTCCAGCAACGGGCGTACATGAGGGCCAGGGCGTTAAACAGAACGCAAACGAAATTGCATGTGATGCCGATGATGATGTCCAGTCTCCTGATATGGAGGGGCCTATTTCCCGTGATGAATCTGTTGTCCATGAGGAATCGCCACTAGAGAATAATTCTCGAGCTCGTGTCAACCGCGGCGGCCACAGTGGCCGCAGGGTTGCGAAGGGGCAAGCCGAGCAAGGGCTTCGTCAGAAGCAGACGGTACAGTGCGTAGGGTCAATCAGCGAGAGCATTAAGCGAAAGAGTGTGGCTCTTGAAGACGCAAATTCTATACGAGCTGAGGCAAATGCGCTTCGAGCATTCTGTGTCCCGATTCTCGACGAAATTAATGCAGATAACATCGCGCGCGGTAATTTCATTCGCGCAATACGACGGAAACATGCGCTTGCCGCCGAGAAAGCGGCTGATCAAGCAACTTCTGTTCGCGCTTGCAACGCAGCAAGCAGTCCTGGGCCTGTACGTGTGATAGAAAACAGTTCCAGCGTCAGTTTTGGTGACAGTGCTAACTCGAACGACATCGAGTCTGCTCTTACGAACTAGCTTTTCTTTTCAGGTGGGTTTTTGTGGTAGGCTTTCTCCCTCTTTATGTGTCCATATTTCAACGAAACGTTCATAAAAAGGGGAATATGATCTGCTACCGGCCCCGCAGTACGCTTTTGCCCGCTACAACAAGAAGATCTAGCTAGAGTGGTACATGACCGCCGAGTGCGACGCCGTCGTCAAGCACTCCGTCCCTCTCAACGCCATACAGCAACCCGAAGAGGACAATGCCCCACCACCGCCGAACCCCGCCTCCGCGAGAGAGGCCGACATCTGGCGGCGCCGCCGCCCCGCAAGCCCCCCGCTCCAACGCTCGCAGGTCGCCCATGTGGCACTGCAGCGCAAGTAGATCCGCGACGAGACGAACTCCCTCATCGCCTCTGCTACGAAATTGACCTCCGCTTCCTCATCATCCATCATCGACCACTGGCCAGACTGGCACGTGGTGTTGGATTCGTAGCTGATGGGAGGAATGGCATTGATCCAGCGCTTGCGATTGCAGCGTGGATGACTTTGATTTGCTCAGGATGGATATACAAAACTTTCATTGAGGACCTTGTTGCTTCAGGAGGAGGACGTACATATATTCAGAGTCAAGCTCGCCAAGTTGAGAGTGAAGCCTGTGCTCCCGCCCCGGCCGGGTATTCACCTTCACGTGCCCGCCCGCGCTGCTATTCATCCCATCGCAACCTTTTCGTCTCCCTCTCCCTCTCTCCCTTCCCTACGCCCCGCCCCCTCACACCTATTCACATTGCCCACTCACTGAAGACAGCAACTACCCTCGCATTCAATGGCAACGCGCCCGTGTGCTTTTCCACACCATTTCTCAAATAAACTTTGCTGACCCAATTCCCAGGTTCCATCCCCCGCCTCCCCAAACGACGGCGACCACAACACAACATCCTCCCCTCCTGCCGAAGCGTACCCCCCGCCCTGACTAGTTTATGAACTACTCGCCCCCATCTGAGGCGCCCTCAATGCAGTGCTTGACGTGGTTCCTTGTCTCGCACACGGAAAATTAAAGCTCATCCCGCATCAAAAAATTGAATCAGGGCTCCCGGCGCACCCGCGGTCGCAACATTTGTCGCACTATGTATGCTCGCCGTTACGGTATTCCTCTGCCACGTGCTTTGACGATGACTTCAAGGTGGTTTTCGTCGTGACGACGAAACCACCTTGAAGTCATCGTCAGGCAGGACACTATTCCATGGTCACAACGGTTGTGGCCATGGGAGAGTGTCCTGCCTGACTGAAAACGAACATATTTAATTTACTCATAAAGTAAGCCCAGCAGAAGCAATTGAAAACTTCCAACAGTTTATGTGCTCTACCAAGTCGACACGCAGTTGGTCGTACGCTACACTGTTGTCGGATTCCAGTCGCCTCCTTGCAGCCAGAGCGCCCCATGTGCCAAGCACAGCAGTAGGTGAGATCGAATCTGCATTTTCCCATTTAAAGTTCACTTCAGCATCTGGTGCAAACTGCCTGGCGCTCACGAACGGTTCACCAGATGTAGCTCGGGCGTAAAGGTTTACGTTGTAATTATCGCGTCGCGCCTCACGATTCATGTTATGCAGTATAACACAAGTACGTAAGATATCCATCGCATGAGCCTTGCACCACATGCGACATTGGCTCTTCAGGACGTGAAATGACGCTACTAAGGCACCAAATGCGCGTTCGACGTCTTCTCTGACGGCCTCTTGCTCCTGCGAAAAATTCTTCAGCTTGCGCTCAGTACAGCCCTTTGTAGATTTCACGAATATTGGCCAGGAGGGATAGATTCCAGCTGCCAGGTAGTACGGTAGATCTCGTATCTTGCCATTAATGACATGGGCGATGCGCGGGGGAAACTGCCCCAACAATATCCTTTCAATTGTAGTGCTGTTTGACAAAATGTTGAGATCGTTCAGTGAACCGGGGTGACCAATCGAGAGATGCCAAAACCAAAGCTCGCCGTCCGAAATGGCTTCAATTGCTATAGTGGGCTTCTTTCCTTTCCCCATGAATTGTCCGGCCCATGCAACATGACACTTTTCCCATTCCCAATGTTGGCAGTCAATGCTCCCTAAGCAACCAGGGAAGCCACGTGACTCGTTCACCGCGAGTATGCCTTTCATATCCTCTTCTGTAGGCTCTCGCAAGCACTCGGGTGCGAATTTCTCAGATATGGCCTTGCAAAACCTCTTCAATATGCAGGGCATCGAGCTCTCCGACACGCCGAGCAGTTCGTCACCCGCATCGTACGCGTATCCGTATCGCATCACAGGCATATACCCTACGATGCTTTAAAGGGGATGTATGCCCTTCCTAACGAGAGCATCTATCTTTTGAGTGAGCTCTGCACGAGTTGATAGGGCAGAGTAGACTTTGTCAAACACCATACGCGGCACCCCAAACCGTCTCTCGAAAGTAATGTCACTGTGCAGAGGGGGAGACCGGTCCACACCGAAGTACAGCTTCTTCAATCGTAGCACTTGTGCGTCGAAATTTCGTTCCAGGTTCGCGGCTCGCCCAACTTGTGACCCTCCCTGCGCCTTCCTACTACGCACACCAGGGAATATTTCGTCCATGATGACCTCAAGCAACAGAAATACAAGCTCGTCGTCTTCATCATCATCATCTGAAAACTGCATCTCATCTTCTTTGTGCCTCGCTGCCGTTCGAACAACAGCGACCCCATGCGCGCCACCTTCGTTGAGTTTTCCAAGCCTCGAGGGCGCCGATGTTCTCACTGTGCATTGCGAGTAGCGCGAAGCCTTCGCCCCTCCATCCCTAGCTTCCGTTGACACCGGAGCGCAATACGCTGAGCGCTATAACTGATGGGTTGCGGCAAACACAGTCCGAGCGTTTGCAACACACCAACGCAGTGGAAGCCCTCTGGATACTTTTGCGATAGCGTTCCAAAAGCATATCTCAAGCGGCGCGCCCACACACGGTGTCCAATCAAAAAATGACACGCGTCCTTATTTAGAATAGAAGTTTGTGCGCGGTGGAGATGCTCTTACCTCTATAGCTGCCATTTCGTCATGCCTAATTTTTCCGCAAGCGCCTCAGAGTGTCTAATTATTGTACAGATTCGCAACGCCGCGAGCTCGATTCCTAGCTCGCTCGCTGGGTTTACTGCGTTCTAATTTCTACTTAGGGAATAATATTGTAACCGTTACGTCCGGAGCCAGCTGGCTGGCAGTCCGTGAAGGTCATATAAATTCGGAATTCAAGTAATATTCCAGCACCCAGCTGAGCAGTCCCAAGTATCTGACCCATCGCAATTGAGCCTTCCAAGCCATTTTTCCACTCCCAACCCTCCACGCGCAGAGTCACATGTGCTGCTCTGGGCGGATCGACTTGCGTCTGCTTGCACGCATTTTTCATCCGAGCACCAGCCCAGAAACTAATCGCAATTAAAATTTCAGCTCTATATTCCGTTTTAGGGAGCTGCGGCAAGGCCAAATGAAATAAAATATGTCAGCAGGGACCGTCTCTTCAACCAAGAAAGCTAATAATGTATGGCATGCGGTAGCTTATTAAGAAAAGGCCTGCAGTTTTAGTGCATCCGATAGATGCCCATATACAGAATCGAAGGATCGTCGACTCAACGTACACTAACCTCTTCAAAGACGGATTAGCAGGCCCAACTCTGCTTTGCACGGAGTTCCCATCAAAGACACTCGGCTGGCACGTGAAAAAATATCCAAAACGATACGAAGGGAAGTAAAACTCCGCTATGGAAGCTAGGAAAACGTGTACAAGATCATTCTCTGCACTCCCAAGACATGTTTGCCGCATTTGTGAGAAGCGTAAAGAATCTGGCCCAAACGCTCAATTTCTGATCGAGGAGAAGCTACAAAAAGAGGCTCTCCTGAATCCTTTGCTCTTGGACCTACTGATATTCACACTTAAAGCGCAGAGCGTTTTCGCTGGGGGGATAAACTGGACGTTTAGAATCAGATGGACAGATGCTAGGTGTCTCCTCCACATTATTGCTGATGCTGGTTCCTGTTCTCTTCAAGGCAACCAAACGAGGCGCACCAGTACCCTAGCAAAGCAACCAGAGCCATCTATCCAAGAACTCCATCTATCAAACGTAAGAAAAGTGGAATGTGTGTTCAAAGAAAAGATGCAGACTGTGCCGCAAATATAACGTTCTCCGACCGCTTCCTGAATTGCGTAGAGAATCGCCAGACGAAATTAAAAAGGCCTTTGAGTATACCGAGGCAGTCGACAATCACAGTGCCTGTTCAGTCGAATTTGCTCATGTGGTAGGCAAGCATTCATGTGATACAGGTCGTTATTTCATCTCGAAGGAAGCCGACGGCACACCGCCGAATGTCGACAGTGCTACTCCCAAGAGCGCATCTGATCGTTGCCTTATCGATTTTATACTCTACGCCCTCCATGCATACGATCAAGACTCCTTGTTCGCTCGCGACAATGACAACTTACGGTACGAAGCGGTTCTATTCAAGATAAGGTTGTATCACCCCTACTACCTCTGCCTACTGCAATATTTCTACCCGTTTCAGCGGGTTTTGCTTTACGATCGCAGCTCAACGAACGAAGGGAAGCCCCAAAAAACTTCACGAACCGTAAAGTGGAATCACGCATGGGCAGTGTTCTTCCATATTTTGTCGTTGTCACGGAAGGTTCGGTGATATGCACACGCCATGGGCATGTCCAATAAAGTACAGAGCGCAATTTCACTCACGACAGCAGGAGAGATTTTTCTTCGAAAGAGAAAAGAAAGCTTCTTGGTAAGGTTTTTGCTCCTTTCCTGAGCAGAAAGGATAACACGGTTGAGTCGGTTAGTCTTTTTCTGAGGAAATCGGGGCTGCCCCCAGTCAGTTTCATGCATCATTTATACTGGATATGGCCTCAAAAAAGGCGAGTCGGTTCTTAGAAGGTTGTGGCTCGTGCAAAAGACGAGGCATTTATTTGATCGTTTCCTGTTTATAACAGAAAAGGCCGACTACCTCTTGATGACTTGGACAAGTTTGCAGAGAGGTATTCTTCCTCTCTAAGAACTGCACCAAATCCCTCTGAAGGAGTGCCTTCCTGCTTGGCATACGTGCTTTAAATGATATTCAGCAAGTAGTACTTTCACGCTCAAGACTATCCATGGGCCCTTTTAAGTATGACATTATCAGTTGCCGGAACTATGGAGTCGGGCCCATCTTAAGTGAGTGTCTTTCATTCGCTTGGCTTCGTGACGAGCTTCGACACTACCGAGGCATTCACAAAGAAACGTTTTGTAGAAAAGAAGCAGGCCGCGCAAGATGTCTTCGAAAAGGTGAGCCTGCATGACAAAGTTATCACCTTCCAAACAGACAACTTTGATATGCTTCCCCATCACAGCATGAAAGCATCAAGAAAAGGCCGATCCTGCCAGTCCTTCAAAGTTGGTGCTTGTTTTCTGCTTATTTGGAAAATGTGTATTTTTGGAAGTTACATTACTGTTATAAAACCAGTTCCGTCTGGCCCTAGGAGCATCTTGACTGTTCAACAGCTCCACCTTTCTCCGTCGGCCAGACCAGCTTTGGCAGCACATTCGGTTTAACTTCAACCTCAGCACTCTTTCCTCTTTCTTTGTACAACACAATCATTTATCAGAACCTGTTGTTAACGTTTGGACAAACGGTTTACCTCGTAACTATGCATCCCTTCCTGTAATTGCCCCGAGAAGAGTTAAACAGTACACTATTTGTGTTACGTACATCTCCTCGTGCCAAAGTTACCTCATCTTCATGTCACATCTTCATTCTACCTGAGCATGTAGTTCGGGACAAATGGGTATGGTCCACGCATGCGTTGGGATGGTAACAAGTATCTACGATGTGTTAAGCATGATTGCAATATTTTTCACAGGAGTGTTTTGGACGAATCAGTATTAGGGCAAGTGCGGTGGACAGGTATCGACATCTCTGTAGTTCGTCTTTGTGGTTCTCATTGTGGTACGTACGGATGTCCATGTTACTGTATTATTAAAGTACGTCGAGACCAGTCAGAACGACGGCGTCCGTCCGGGAAAGTCATTATGCGATGGGAGTTGGCTGCTCGGTTGTACTGGAGACTCATGTCCCACTCAAAACACCAACACTCGTTGCAAGTAGACGAAATATTCCCAGCGCCAAACTGAAGTGGTTTTAATATCAATGGATGTGGTGTTTCGAGATTAAATAACACTTCAGTTGTAGCTGAGCTATGGCATCTGATGTCTAGGAAATTTGACAACAGGTTCAGTGCTCAAGCGAAACCAGTCAGCCCAGACCTCTACGCTCTTTGGATTCTCACCTCTTGTATCACAATGGTGCTCTTTGCAGACTCCTTGACCGAAAGTGGTACTGTAATAGAGTATTGTAGCGCTGGTGAAGAGGAACCGCTTTATCAACGATGCATATCGACACCGCAAATAACATATTAATGCTCCTCTCTTCTTGGAAGCGGGACGATCCATGTCCGCCAAGATTTCAACGCCAATCTTGCTCGGGATTCCATAGCGTTTCCCGTCGCATATCACTTATCATCCATTTTTGGCAGACATACACTCCGTACACAACAACACAGGGCCCGGCTCTCTGCCCTTAAACGGGGTTTTAAGTGGTGATGTGTCGACTGCTGCACGTTTAAATAGCTGGTCTGTTGGTAGGCCCACCAAGATCGCTAGACGTTTCTTGGAATGTTTTCCGCATACAATACAGGGATCTCCTATAGAAACTGCATACAGATCTCGAGACACCTTCTTCGACACCTTTGACATTGCTGAAACCACCTCATTGGCACTCAGAAGCTAAGTTTTGTTGTACCACACGACATTAGTGTAAGGAAATGGATCAGTAATGCGCGCAAGCAGTAACCCATCTTAATGTCGAGGACGACGAGTTCGAATAAACAAGGTTCGGGGTGTGGTAGCAAAATGTTGTGCAAGAAGACTAATACACTCAAATTTTCAGGTAGGCGGAAAACCATATTTGGAGTAGTAGGATAAACCAAATTTCCATATTTGAGAAGGCATCCACTTCTAGATGTGTTTATGCCCAGTTAAAAGTATGATTTTATGTCGTTTCATGCCATACCCAAAAGCGTTCGTTGGATAGGTCTATTTTGTTTTTAAATTTGACAACAGTAGCATACCGGTACATGCATTACAATCCAGCAATGACCTGAAGGATAAAAAATCTCAAGATGCCAGGAACAGCGAGCAAATCGAGTATCAAAGAACCCCGTCCTCTTCCCGAGATAGCATACTCTATAGACGCATTCATCTGCCACAGCG